GAATGAGATCCGACGTCCAGGAGCAGTGACTCAGGCCCTCGGCCCATGACAGTGTGTCTGCATTTAGCCACTGGCTCCTGTTTCCCTGGCCGGCGGCAGGCTTCTGGGCCCCCCCACCCCTCCCCCACCCTCTGTCCATCTTGCCTCAGTGCTGGTAACCTCCTGGCAGCCCCCTGGGCCAGGATGAGTGACATGGGCCAGGCAGGAACCTCCACTGGAATGACAGACCCCTCTTTCTCCAGCCACTGCCCTAGGCCCCCTTCAGGGACCCCCAGCACCAGTTACTAGCCCCATAGATGGAGCCCCCAAGAATGAAGCTCTGTGGGAGCCAGAGAAAGGAGAAACACTCCCCACCTTCAGAGCTCCCAGCCTAACGGGACACAGGTGATCCCCTGTCTGATCGATGAGAGGACAGCGAGGAAATCATAGACACAGGAGGACCAGGTTACACTGCCAGGTACCAGGTGGGCAAGGACAGGCAGTCCTGTGGGCATCGGGCCAGGCGCCCCTTGCACGGACTGCAGCAATCAGAGAGGCCTCCCTGGGGGAGGAAGGCAGGATTGGAGAGGAGAACAGAGGCCCACACCAAGCCTGGGCAGCAGCAAAGGGCCCCCTCTCCTCCCAGAGTGGCCTGTCCCCGGCATCACCTGAGTCAGCCCTGGCTCTGCCGAGCTGGGGGTGAGCAGACAGGGGCTTCTCGGGGGCATCTCCACACAGGTCACCCGGCCCCCTGGAGGGCTTTGGGTTGGTGAGATACATCTGGGTGCGAGGCCCCCTCCCTGGGAGGCTCTGCGTCCCTGCCTGTAAAATGGGAATGGCGCCTCCTTCAGGGCTGTGCGGGGATTGAATGGACAGTGCCGGGAAGCTCACAGCCAGGAGCCCCGCAGGCGCCCACACACCAGAGCGGGGACAGTTGTCTTCCGAATTCTCTGCCTCTCGCCTGCCTCCTGCCCGCTGCAGTCCCGGGCGGGCGTCTCCTCCAACCCGGAGACCAAACACACAGTTCCCAGAAATGTAACCTCCTGGGTCTTTACGGGCAGTTACCAAATTACCTGAGCTGAGGCCCAGCCCCCAGCCCCCAGCCCTGCCTCAGGCTGCTTCCTCCTCTTGGGGCCCCCGAAATGTTCCACAGTGTGTGTGGGGGGGAGGCAAGCATGGAATCTGGGTCCCAGTGGGAGCTGGCAGGGGGACAGCTGCACATTCTACCCCCCCTCCGCTGTCTCAGTCCTTCCTAAGAGATGCCTATGAGCATTATCTGCCCCCCGGGAAGGAGCCCTTCCCCTCACATAGGAGCCCAGCAGGTGGGGGGTCCTCCACCCACCCCTGACCTCCTGACCTGGCATCTCATACTGTCCCCAGAGCCGTGGCTTGGGCCCCTCTGCCCTGATCCCCACCACCCAGCTCCCCTCTGACCAAGGGCTGGGACTTTGGGGGAGAGGGGACAGGAAATAGAAAAGGTTGGTTTGGCCACAAGGAGTTTGCCATCTGAGGGGGGAGGCACAGTCCTAGAGCCCCAGGCTGTTGGGGAAGACAGGGACACAGGCCACCTCCCCCCCACACCCCCCCCCCAGGTCCTGGGCAGGGGTCTGAGTGGCAAGGGGGCAGCTCTGGCTGGCGCTCCGCAGCCGAGGCCGGGCTGGAGTTATCGGCTGGAATGCCAGGCGATGAGCTCAGCCCCACGGGCCTGCGTGCCTCGGACTGTCAGCAGGGCCGGCTCACTGGAGAGGATTTCCAGCCCCTCTGGGCCACGGCGAGGCCTAAATTTAGCCAGTAGACAAGGGGCTGGCCCTGAGCCCGGGCGCCCGGGCCTTATAAAGCGCCGGCAGCCGGGGGCCCGGCACGCTCCCCCGAGCCCACAGCCCGCACCCTCTGCTGTGCGCCCTGCCCGCCTGGCCAGGGCCGGCCGCCCCGTGGATGAGCCACAGGACCTCCTCCAGTTTCAGAGCGGAGAGAAGCTTCCACTCCTCCTCCTCCTCCTCCTCCTCGGCCGCCCGAGCCCTCCCAGCCCAGGACCCACCCATGGAGAAGGCCCTGAGCATGTTTTCTGAGGATTTTGGCAGCTTCATGCGGCCCCACTCGGAGCCCCTAACCTTCCCAGGCAAGTGCTTGGGGCTGAGGGAGGGGACACGGCTGGGGAGGGGACACCTGCTTGGGCACCTCGGACTGCGGCTGTGGCTCTGGCTGCCGAGCTGGCGCTGCTGGGAGCAGGTGCCTCGGGGCTGCAGCAACATGTGGCCACCAGGGCAGATGTGGCCACAGAGACAGATGTGGCCATGGCAGCAGGCAGGCCTCCGAGGAAGAGTCGTGACCAGGAGTCAGCTGTGGTGTCAGTGGCCGGCCAGGGCCTGGCTGGGTCTTTGGTGGGCTGCAGGAGGCTGAGGGTGGGACACATCCCCCCACTCCAGGCTTGGGGTGGGTTGCTACAGAAAGGGTCACACACACACACACACGCCTGGCACCCCTCCCCGTGCCTGGTGAGGCCCCATCCCCGCTGTGGAAAAGGCAGGCTGCAAGGGGTGAGGAGGGATGGACAGGGTGGTTGGGAGCAGTAACTGGAAGGGAAGTCAGGCCTGGGGGGCCACCCCACTCCCCAGAAGAAGGACCCAGAAACTTGAGTTCTGGGTGCAAGGCTGCTCTGCGCTCAGCTCACGGCCACCCTTCCCACAGCCCGCACCGGGGGGCCGGGCAACATCAAGACCCTCAGAGATGCCTATGAATTCGCAGTGGACGTGAGTGACTTCTCCCCGGAGGACATCATCGTCACCACGTCCAACAACCACATCGAGGTGAAAGCTGAGAAGGTGAGCCAGCCCACCCCACCGCACCCCAGGTTCTGCACCTGTACCCTTTGCCCAGTGTCCCCATGCCTGTGTCTCATCCTGGGACCCCAGACCCTATCCAATGTCCCCCAGGCCCCCAAGGCAAAGGGGAGACCCTGCTCTTGTAGCTCGTAGGCCTCGGGATCCCCATTAGGGCCTCTCTCTGCCCCAAGATCCTTTTTGCAGGAGCCAGGGCAGCTAAGAGAGCCACAGGGGAACAAACGGGAGGGGTAGAGGGATACCGGCAGGTGAGGTGAGAGGGGGGATGAGAGGAGGGAGATAGTGGGTGGGTGAGGACAGCTCTCCTGGCAGGCGTGCGGGTAGGTGGGGGCCCACCTGGGCAGGTGTGGGAAGGAGCTCCTCCCACGATACCCCTCAAGCCTCTTTCTTCTGAAATCCAGGGGCCCAGCCCCCATCCTGGGACCCCTGGATTAGAGCCCCTGCTGCTCAGGATCACACACTCCAAACCCCACACTCCCTCTGCCCACGGCTCTCAGGGTCACTGGGTCACTAGGGTCTCTAAGTAGCAGCTCCCAGGAGCCTCCACCTGGAGGAGGGTGTGGCCCAGCCTGAACCGGGATGCTGCCCCCAGTGGGCCAGGGCCCCAGGTGCCTGTCAGAGGAGAGGGGTGCCTGAGGCTTCTGCCAGACCCAGCTCCCTCCCTGAGCACAGGATGCTAGATGCCTGGGCACCCTGTCAGGGAAGCCAAGGACTGTGGGCACTGGGACCAGTGGGCAGCATGTGCCAGCCCTGCCACTCCCGCCAGTGACTCAGCCACCCCAGGCTCCTCTGGACACTATGTGCTGACCAAGCCGTGGGGGAAGGGCCACCGGCCCAGTCTGACTGTGGACACCCACTGTGTCTGGGTGTCCAAGAGGGCTGGGCTCTGCCCTATGCCGCTTTCTCCCCGTTGCTCAGGAGCCCCGGGTTCTGCCACCAGGCCTCCTCTGTTTCCGAGCCCTCACCCCAAGCCTCTCACCTACCCGTGGGGACCGTTGGAACTTATGGCCCTTGGCCTGTGCCACCATCGCCCTGGCCAGCCCCTCCTCCACACCTGAGAGCAGAGCCCCCTGGCTGGAGGGGGGGCCGGCTGGGCTCAGACTGGGGAGGGGCTGTGGCTCGACAGGAGCCAGGCAGGGGTGGAGGGCAGGCTGCCCTGACCCAGCCCTCTTCCCCAGCTGGCGGCGGATGGCACGGTCATGAACACCTTTGCACACAAGTGCCAGCTGCCCGAGGACGTGGACCCCACATCCGTGACCTCGGCCCTGAGGGAGGACGGCAGCCTCACCATCCGGGCGCGGCGACACCCCCACACAGAGCACGTCCAGCAGACCTTCCGGACAGAGATAAAAATCTGAGGCCTCCCG